TATAATTATATATATATATATATACTTATTTATAGTATGTGTGTGTGTGTTAATATAAACTCTATGTGAATAGAATAAACAAGTAGTGTGTATAAAATATAAAAGTATAGCAACAATAAGCAATATCTTTGCATTTATCACGCATACATCTTTTTTAGTTTCTTCTTCATTTTCTCTCGATGTCTGATTAACCTGTTTTCTCTTGAAGACTTTCTTTCCCATTTTCTTTAATATATTCACTATGTTATAAAACTAGTTTAAGTGTATATTATTATTCCATAAATTACGTGTATTATTTTCTTTTTGAATTTCCGAAAATATAAAGTACTACAAAATCTTTTTCTTTTACGGTTTGCAATGGCACCGTATGAACGAAATCAACCTAACCGCACTTTCACAATATAAAATCACGTGTAATGTAAGGGGCTCCGCCATAGACATAGTATATCTAGACCGAGTGTTGTCCACACAATGAGAAATGAGGAATAAGGAACAGGGAATAGAGAATAGAAAACAACCGCAGTGGAAGGATGCGCATTAAGCCCGAATCACACTAGCGGCTGCGATTGCGATTGCCTCAGCCAATCAGAAAGCACCAATTGCAAGTATGATTGGAGCGTAGCAAATCACAATCACAAACGCAATCGCAGCCGCGAGCCGCTAGTGTGATTCGGGCTTTACATGTATACGCTTGTGTGCGCATTCTCACCACTGCGATTGTTCTCTGTTCTCTATTCCCTATTCCATGTTCCTTATTCCTTTTATATTGTGCGGAGCCCCTAATCGGGTAAAATTCTTTTTCTTTTTATTTGTTACCATAAACATAAAAAACTCATAGATGTGCAAAAAGAGCAGCGTTCGATTGATTAATTAAGACAAAGAAATTTTGGTGTTCTTTTTTGATTGATCGGTTTTCGGACAGCATTCTATTCCAAGGAATAAATTTTGGTACGCAACACTAAAGGTAACATTTCATGGGCAGTGAAAAGCAGCAGCAGTTTAGTAACTAACTAGCATTGTTTGGTGATTTTACAGAATTGCTGCGCTGCCCATGAAATAGGTTTTCTGCATATCTATTTATCTATATATCTATTATTACTAATTATTATCTAACTATTATTAGCTTACAATTATTTTTATAATTATAGTTCCTACAAACTTACCTCTGGTGATTCCATACTTTAGAACAGTGCTCGGATTTAGGCCGGTATTCATAGTCCGTTCTTATATTCAAGATTGTCTTAAGTGTGGTCTTGGGTCGTTTTAAGTAGAGTCCTATATAATCAGAAAAGCGATATCGTTACCCCCTCTATGCTTCCCATGATCGCCATTCTGGTCCCGCAGCTGCCCATTTGTAATCTAAAATGTCTTAGAAATGTCTCAGAGATATTTAAAATGTCTTTTTTTTAGAAAATAACATTACTTGGCATCGGGACGCTACCGCGTCGCTTGACAAATATACTTTTTTCTCACTTACGGTACGCCGGTTGCGGTTAGTTTGCACGTAGAAT